ACGTGTGCTCTTGAAGTGAGTGACAAATGAGACCCAGATCTCACTCAAAATACCAGCACAACAACTTAAATTTTTACCTAGTGATGATAAAACTCGGCAGAAATAGAGCCACAGAATCAGAGAATGGTTTCGGTTGGAAGGGCCTGAAGTCCAGGCTGCAAAGACAGGAGACAGCCAGTCCTCCTCAAACTCTCAGTGAAACAAAGCCAAGTTCTTGTAACCCCAACAGCTGGATGGCCACAGCCAGCCCACTTTGACCAGACCCCAGTGGTTCCTGTGAGGCCACTCAACAATCAGACAAGAGCCAAGGAAAACCACTTATGCTAGATAGCCTTGGTAGCCACATAAGTCATACTAGCAAAATATTTTAGCATTGCCATTGAGCAGCCCTGTTGTTCATGATTCCAGAGTGGAAGGTGACACTTCACTCCTTGAGTAGTTCACAGCACTCCTCAAATGAGCTTGTGCTGGAAAGTCCTGATGTCCAAATTACAGAAAGTGAAATTGCATTCTGCTTATCTAAATTCCCCACACAGTATCTATATACAGTTTTTATACTTGGCCTGCATTTAAAATGTCAGGTGCTGTTCCACACCAGAGGCTCCTGCCTGTCAGTCTTTAGGAATCATTATTATACATCTCTTCAGCTTATTCAAAGAATTTTGTCTTTTATTTTGCTTTCACTTATTTAAATAATTACTATTGCTGGCTGTAGAAAACTGTTTAGAAATGCAGTTTTAGCATAGTGAGAGATGAAAGCACGGAAAACCTCTCCAGATGGTGAGATTAACTGACAAAATCACCTTAAATATTCAAAGGTTAAAAATACAGACTTTTTAATGGTCAGTTTTCTAAGTCTATTAAAAATTGCCTTACTCAAGATAATTTGATTGGTGCCACAATTAATAGGAAATCTTATTTTTATTCATATCCCTACAACTTCAAAGCTATTTTTTAGTAGTCAGTATGTGGAATTAGAAGTTATGAAAAACTGTTGAAGAGGCAGCATTTTGTTGTGAAACTGTCAACCGGTATTGTTTATGTTCAAAACAGCAACAACACAGAAACAAATTATGCTTTTGTTGGCAATAAATTGAGATTCAGCAAAGAAAAATGCACCTGATGGAACCATAATTGACGAATGGGGCACACATGCTCTGCTTGTATTTACAAAAAAGAACACAAGTAAATAAATTATCAGAACTTTATTTCTGTTACAAATTATCACAATCACAATTAATATAAAACAGAAAGCACTGAGGAAACATGACTGTTGGATACAAGATTTATCAAGGTGTAAAAGCCTTATCCAAGACTCTACTACTAGAAAACCTGTAACTGTGAATTAGAGAAAACATTTCTATGCATCAAACACCAAGTGAAAGAGAATAAGCAGCATAGTATTACTGACAAGGATTAAACATCTTGTTATACAAGTTTTAGAAGGAAATGGAAGTTGGAGCATTATTTCTACCCAAGAGTCTTGTCTGGAGCAGACTTGTTTATAATTAGCTATTAAGAAAAGCTTCAGCAGAAAACACCAATCTTCATTTTAACTTATCCATGTCATTCATACATTAGACAAGCTATTTCCAAAAGCATTTAAGTCATGAGACCTCACACACTCTCTTACACTTGCTGCATAAGGCTAAAAAGAGTCACTAAAGAACAGGAGGTTGCATTATTGCTTTGTAACAGGAACTTAGATGGAAATTCTTTATTGAGCTCCAAATAAAACATTGTTGCATCACTATACAGTTAAGAGTTTCAATATACAATTGTTTTAAAAAGTGTATGCTGTTATACACTTTAAGGCTTTCATACAAGAAATGCTGAGCAGGATTTTCAGACTCAGTCTCGTCAGTGTCTGAGCACAGGGTAAGTACAGTGCTCTAAGCAGTCCGTAATTAACATGGCAGAAGCTCCTGAAAAAGAGAAAAATACACTTTATTTAAGATTTAAATAATATTTAAGATATTATTTAATATCTTGAGACTAGAGAGCATGAATTGTCTGAAACCTGGTAGATTGCAAGTAGAGGAATCAGACAATTATGCACATAATAAATGTATGGAGATCTAGGAAAGCACTGCAGAAACTGCTATCATTGAAATCCAGTGGAAATTTTATAAAAATTGTCAATAAAGATAAATAATTGATACGAATAATTATGACCACTAACATTACTTTTTTCACCAGTAACAGTCATGTGTCAGAGTGCAAATCTCTACTAGAATGAAAACACGCTTCTGAGTCTGTCGCAATGGAAGAAAGGCTGCCTTCTACATTGGTTTCCTTTCATGTAGACACCTTTCTAGCTTATTTTTCCCACTGCTCAAAATCAAATGGATTTAAGAGATTGGCCAACAAAAAAAACAAAAACCAAAAAACCCAAAAACAAACAAACAAAAAACAACCCACAAGAGAAATGTAATGGTAGAACAATGCTAGGGCATATTATTTGACAAAATGCCAAGATAAGTTTTGCACTGCAAAAATATAGTTTTGAAGAATATCCAACACGATTTGTTTGAACTGATGCAATTTACTGTGCACACACAGGATATGAGAATTGATACATTTTTTTTTTTTAAGAGGCATGGAAATACATTTTCTTAGTAGAAATAAGATGTATCAATGTAGAGCACTGGAAGAAGGAATACTTAATTCATATGGTAATCATTCTCTGGTGCACTTAGAGCCAGCCCCTATTATCAGGGAGACACATTTTTCTGCCCCAAAGGGAACCTTAAACAATTTAAGCTTCTCTAGGACTTCAGGGCACAGTAGCAGAGAAGTGGCACAAATCACACACGCTGATCACATGCTCATCCTCCATACTGGAGGCAATAAGAAAATATGGCACTAAATAAAAGAGAGTTGGATAAACAATACAGAACACTGAATCCACTTCTGATTCAATTATTTATCTACCAGCCACCCTTGCCACTAGGTATTTTAGTTTCAACCCCTGAAGTTTCATTCTGTCTGTTTAATATAATACATGATGTTTGCAGATGAGCACTTCCTAGGTAATTCATCATATTATGTGATTTAAGATGTGACCAGAAGGAGAGATTGTGCCAATTGTTATAAATATTTTTAAAAGATACTTATATATTCAGTTCTGGCACAGCAATTCTAGCAGTTGTTATTAAATCTCTGCCCTCTGAGCCCCAAAGGGGAGAAATCTTCTTCAAGCTCTCTACTCTTAGAGTCCTTTGATTTAAGCCCTTAAAACATTCAAAACAGTTCTAAAGCCATTTTCTATGTACAAAAGGTTCCTTTAGCCTGTGACAGCAGCCTCTTAAATTTACTGCAGTACACAGAGGCAGTGCAACTTATGCAATATTTCACAGTATAGAGCTCTATTTATCTGAGCCTTGTCAATTAAAAGCACTGAGATCATGAGGTTAGCAGGAAGAATTACTATTCCAAGTAGAAAAAAAATCTGTTTTATTTAAAATATACACTATCTGAGCATAAAATCAGTTCGATTATGTCTTACTTTATATATTGAATTGACCATAAACAGTAGAGCCAGCTTTTCTTTAGCTAATGTTTCTTAATGGATTTGTTCTCCTTCAATTAATGCCAAAAATCAGTCTGCTACTTGTGCAGAAATGCTTGAATTTGAAAATCAGTTCACAGAATGTATTTTTCATATTTTAGATGTGTTTCTTGACACATCAGCAAACAACTCACAAAATGAGTTTTAAATTCCTGTTTGAAAACTAAAAGCATCAAATTACATTCAGTTTCTTCAGCTTCCTCTGTCCAATCAAACACTTAATTGTTTGAGATGTTGCCAAAGCTATGCACACCCTTCAATAAACTGCCAGGGGAGTGTCCACACACTGAGACAGCTCAAGGTCCTGATTAATGAAAGTTTAGAACTACTACTTTCCCTACCAGAATTGACACAGACAGTAACACCTAACTTAAAGCTTTGTGCAAAATTAAGGACTCGATCAAAAGTTCCATTATCTATCTAATAATTTCACAGATGAGTAAAGATACCTACCAAAGTATCAGAAGATCAGGGTTTTTGTTCTCTTGGCTGTCCAAGGAGGTGACTTTCCTGACGAGAGAGAGAAAAAAAATATGTTTTTACTAAATTTCAAAGAATTTCAAATAAAATCTAAAGAAAACAATGTAAATCAAGCTATAATTAATAGAAACAATGCTTAAAAAAAGGCTTTAGATAACATTTGCAATGTTTAAGCTAGTAGAATTTATGGAAAAATAATATATTACAAACTATTGGTTATGAGGTTTTACAGAAGTTTAATAGGGAATAGTTTGTCCAAATTTAACTAGCTAAGCTAAGGCTTTTTAGATGACTAATACAAATTAAACGTTTTAAAATGAGAATTTAGGTGTCCTCACAAGTCTTTCCTACATTCTAAAATGAAACTTTCTAAGTTGTAGCCTCCCTGTTTTTATTGGTTATATTGAGATAACTTAAGTGAGATTAAAATCTTATTTGATTTATTTACCTTTGCAAATGAAGACCGTTTTAAGGGTTACACATCCTCTGCCTCTGACGAAAGCGACCTCAATTAGTCAAGTCAGAAATTCTTTAAAAGCTTTGTGTTTATTGCTTCCGGCACGGAGCGAGGTGGTCATTAACGTACCAAAATTCTCATAAAAATTCCAAAGTTGCACTAGTGAAAAAATGCTCAACAAGGTGAAAACTAGTCACATCTTTTTCCAGAAAATTCATTAGCTATTTTAAACCATTTTTTAACAAAAGTATTTTGATTTAATGTGGCACTCAAGCAGATCCATACCATCTGGATATTTTAAACAGCATTTATATCTACTGTGAGTATATAGAGAGATACATTTAGGTTTAAACCATTTTGTTTTAAAAGAAGTTGCACAACGTTTAATATGAGCCTTTTATGCTGATCGCTGTTAAACATTTCTCCCTGTTTACTACTATTTATGAAGTTTTATTATAAGATAAAGCATAAAATTAATCTCACACACACTGATTTTCTTTCAAAAGTTTATTTAGTATCAAGCAAGGGTAAAACTTTGCTTAACACTACAGAACATTTCAAGACTTGAGTTACAAAAACCACATTATTCGCATTTGTAGTTTGCTTCCCTTTTTACGCATGTTTGCAAAGAGAAAATCTAGCAAATGGCTGAAAAAAAAAGCTAAAAACTAAATTGTTGAAAACCTTTAAAATAAAAGGTTACGCTTATGTTAAAAAGAATGGACTAACGTATTTAGTAAACCTATTTTTTGTTTAACACTAGTTAATCAAAGGTTATTTTTTTGATCACCTATTTTTTCAAACACAGTTTGGAAATAACAAAGTTCCTTGTTTTACATATCTTTCTGTCCAGGTTGTTCTTTCAACAAAATGTTTTAAGTTCAGTCCATCCATTCAGATTTTTTATGCACTTTGAGTTAATAAAAAGGGATTGTTCATAGAAAAAATTACTTTGAACAGTATACAGGACTGGTGGAGATTGGATATTTCACAACATCAGACAGTACAATCAGTATCTGGCATATGGCTGGTCTCTGTAGACTCCTTTTGTTGTCCTTGCAGAAGGTGTCTTGTGTCGCGAGTTGGTCCATTCTTCTTGCCCTACAAGGAAAGAAAATATGGTCAGAGCCCCTCCAACATTCTCGGATGCTGAATGTAATTTTTCTTATCTGTGAACCAAACAGCCACATCCTGTTAACAGAAACCAAGGTGTACAAGTCTAACACTTGAAACAAAAAATCTGGGAACAGCACATCTATCTGAGCTATCCCACAGTGATTTCTCAGCACACAGGAGCAGGGAATGTGACAGGATAATGGCAAAAATATTTACGGCTGTGGAAATTCAGCTGGACCTGCTTGTTGCAAATGCACAGAAATGTCAGCTCCCATAGCAGGCACACTAATAGTTGCAATGGGATGAAATGAATGGAAGGTATGAAATATGTATAAGGAAACAAGCTGCCCTCAGAAATAAGTTTCTCTGCATCAGTGCCAATTTAGGCCTAATTCAAACATGCAAACCAAGCCTTAAGTATTACTACAAACACCTGAGGCTTTTAACATTCTAAAGAAAACATGTAAATAATGATATGCAAACATACACCTTCTCTGAAATGCAAGAAATAGGAGGGCACATTATTAAAAAAAATATATTACAAGCACAAGGAACATTGGTTGTTTGAATTCTGGCTATAAAATAAGCTTGTAAAAAAGCTTGTGCTATATTTAATGATTCATAATCCTACCACCTTTTAATGGAAATAAGTATTTTTAAAAAGTAGAAAAAATTATCTTAAATGAGAGTCAGACCTTCTATGCCAGGCAGTTGAAAAAGGGAAAACATAGGACTAAATGCAGAGTATAAGGAAGAAGTACTTTAGTACAGTTTAATGATGTAAACAACTGAGAGTATTATGTCACATCTGCCAGAGAAAACATAAAAAAGCAGCACCTAAAAAAAAATCCCCAAAAGTAAACACACCTTAGAACAGTCTATGTGCTTCCATACTTATTTTTGCAGAACTGCCCTGTCCTAAACAGACAGGTGCTCCAGTGACCCAATGCAATCCAGAAACTAAAGGCAGAATCCAAATGTTTGGTAGAATAAAACGTAGACAACACTTTTTTTTTTTTTTTTTTTTAATGGACTAGAAAGACAAAAAGAACTCAAAGAACCCCTGCACTTTGAACGCTGAGGTAACTTGCTCTGACATGAGATATCTGAAATTAGATGACAAGGTTCCCATATGTCAAGGGCTCAGTTTCACAATCCCTTCGCAGAAGCCTCATCCTAACTGCTTTTTAATAATGTAGGTGGTAGGTGGCTGCCTGCAGGGTCCAGGCTATAAATTATACCCAGGTGGTCAGGACATTTGCCTAGGAGGCAAAAGGAACAAGTTCAAATTCGGTGTAAGGCTGAAAGAATTAAACCTTCACCTCAGGTGATTTCCACAGGCATCTGGTAACAACTTCTTGTGCTTCATCACACAGAAAGCAAGACTTACATTAAAAAAAAGACCTAAATCTATGGGCAGCTGACTGAGGGGTAGGAATTAAAAATATTTTAAACACTCCTGCAAGAACTGTTTAAATGAAAAGAGAAGTAGTAGTTACAGTTTAAGGGAAATACTTGCTCTTTTTCAAGCAGTTGATCAAATCAGCAGTGCAAAGAGTTACCTTAAAGTTTCTCAGTTTTCATTTTGGTAATGTTCAGAGCTCCAAATACTAAAAATACTGAAATTCTTCCTACATCCTCTGGGTTGTCACATGAATTTCTCACATGAAAAGCTCAGATACCTCCTGAGAAACTGAATTTCCTCCTGGCAGCACAACTACCTGCTCGCTAGGCAGTGTTACTTATTTTGAGGCATCTAATGTTCTTTACATACAGTGAAGATGGTTATTAATCTCTAACTCTGCTTTTAAGGGATATATGTAAGAAATTAAGTGTATAACTACTTATATGTACAAAAACTACAGTGGCTGCAACCCATAATCATTCTTCAAGGTATTTATAGTCTTTCTCTCAACTTGAATAAATATATCACTTAATATTCTAAGTGGCTGTGTTTTGATAAATAGAAAACCAATTTTAAATGCAAAAGCAATGAAAAATCCATATTTTCAACCTTAAATACTGCAATCAATAGCTCTCCCCCATCAGTCTATCTACATTAAGCAGTTTCATACATTTTTTCCCCCATCAATTTTACATTAATGAAATAGTCTTAGAAATATCAGGTATATAATGGAAATCAGTTTATTTTAATGCTGAAATAACGATTTAAGTTATATATCTATCAACACCAACTGAAAGTGCTGAGGGACAGAGGAATTTCAGGTGACCTCTTCTTTTGACGAACTATCTTTCTCCTTAAGCAAAATAATTAGTTTAAGCAGATACACTGGGCAAACTACTGCATTAGGTGCATTTATCACAACTTAGTTAACGTCATTTTAGTTTCAAGCAGGAAGCACTTCCACATGGAGTTAAAGAAATAGACCTCAGAAGATTTCAAGTGGTCACTGAAGCATTCATTACTCAGAATCACAACTTTTACACAGGTTACTAACAACCCTCAAATGTTTTGATTTGAGACACCTAGATTTTATTTCTCTGATCTCTAGCCAGAGACTTAACATTTATCCCTTAAGGAAAGGTGCCTTTTAAAATGCTTTATGCTTCTAGCCTGTAACAGACTTCTTTAATTAAACCTGTCACCACCACACTTCTACATTTTAAAAAAGAAAAAAGTGATCTTTACAACTGGCATATGTTTTTTGCTTTATTACTCATTGTTTTGTCTCTATACAGAGTAACCCACTGCCCCATGCCTGTTAGCTACCTAAAGTACTTCCCTAACCTTTACATAATGACTCTCTGCTTGATTTCCCAAGACTGATGCATGGAAATGAACGAAAACAAAAGGACCATACAAGGCTAAAACACACTCAATTAGGCCCTAATTCAGCTGCGAGCTTCAGCAGATACCTTCTTTCTATGAAGTCTCAATGCAAGCTGTGCCACACCAGAAGCATTTGTTTTTGGCAGTCAGAAGTTCCTGGAAATAGGTCCTCCATCCCCATTTTTTTTCATAAATCTCATTGAATGTGATATGAAAAGGCTGCATGCATCATGATTTAAGTTTCATTTCCTCTACTTCTTTGGTTTTAGTTTCCCATGACTGCGTCAGCTAACAGACCACAGAGGGCATTTTTCTCAATAAGCACGCGAGGAGCTCTGTGACAACTCAGGAATCGCTGAGAAGCCACTACCTGCTGCAGGACTAAGCCTTGCCTCACAGAAATTATCCTTTCATTAAGTTTTTTTCTTTCTTTCGAGAGTCTGCTGCTGCAGTGACTGAGCTCACAAAGCCACTCACCGTAGGAGTCGTAGGTGTCTTCACTCAGTCCGTGGCCATAGTCGTAGTAATCTGCTCCACTGCAGGGCAGGAGGGGCACGGAGAGAAGAAGAAAACATGAGAATAAATACTTATTACACATTCTACCTCTGAAAAGAAAGCTTGAAGGATATAGGACATGCCCTAAGAAAGGTAAGTATCCATGTGACAGTGATAACTGAGGTCCTGCTTGTTTATTAATTAGAAACTATATTTAATTTCATTTTGGATTTTTTTCCCCCCATCAGTTGGCTGCTCATCCACATTTGAGTTTCCCGGCCAACACACCAAATAATATGGTTTTTAATAAAAAAATGGGAGATGTAGGTACTGAACCAATTCATTTGTTTTATAAATTCCTTTTCATTACCTACTTCTACCTAGTATTTCACCTTTGTATCTTCAAACTCACTGATAAGAATGCAATAAAGAGCAAACTATTTGTTGATTGGAGGGTTATACATCTGCTGTGTGTGTACAAAGTTTCAGTGTCTTCAAAACAAGACAGAGGAACACAAATAAAAGGACTATTATTTTAAAAGGAAGAAATTAAATAGGAACTATGTTAAAAGCTGAAATCTGTAGTTGTTAGGATTCAAGAGTGGATGAATTCCATATTCATGGCCTGAAACAGTCCTCCATTTCATAATGATTTTTATATTTGTATTAAGACCCTTGAATGGAAACAGAAGAACAACCCTTATTACACATCATTCTATCATGCTTTCATATTTCATTCAAGTCTAGGTACGTGTAGTCTTTTACACAGTTTGTAGAATGTGAAAAGCAAGTGCCTAAATATTTATTTTCCTTTTCTTACTAACCACAGCCAGCCTCAGGGCTGACAGTATTTGGAAAATATTCTATGAAATGATGCTATCAGATCAGCAGACTCAAACTTTTTATCTCCCTTTATGGATTTATTCTGCAAGGAAAGACCTTTTCATAGAATCACCTCCTGAGTGAGAAGGAAATCACTAATATATGATCGCCAGCAAGTAATTACTGATATTGACAAAATGTTCCTAACATTAGATTGATTGCTAACAAAATAAACACCAGAGTGAAAATAAACAATTAATAGCCTTAACATGAATCAGCAGGTAAAGCATTTATATAAAACAAACAACACATCACAATTGCTTCTGAGCTGACAAAAGAGTTTGCTGCACTTGAGTTCTGATTTAGTTTATTTGTTTGTTTTTTTAAACTAAAAGTTTTAAACCCCTCAAAATAACCAGGCCAGAAAAAAATTCAGTTTTGGCATGTGCAAATGCTTACCTAAAAATGCTGCATGAGTATATTTTATTGCTGGTATAATGCTTACTAAAAAAAATTAACCAACTGCACTTTGAAGACTCAGAAAGAATTATCTCTACAAAACCTTTTCTCAATTGTTTCTCAGGTGATGAGGACCCCAGAATAAGGGCAAAGTTTGAATAAGAAGTTATTTTTTCCCTGCAGCAGCCAGTAATAAAAGTATTTATTCTGACAATGAACTGAAAACTGACATTCACTACCCTTCCACAGAGAACTTATTTATTTTAGGACTGTGATCGAGTTTGGAAGTCTAAAGCAGCTGAGCTCCATCTCTGTATCTGTCAATTCTGTCAGAATGACTTTGTGGGGTCTCATTTCATAGAACTAATACAACTATTAAACAAAGAAATTACTCATTTTACAGCACACAAACTGCAAAACAAATATCAGAAAGGAAGGAACCTTTCACTTATACTGAAAGTACATCACAACTCATCTTTATTAACAGACAAACCCTTCAAAACTAATAACCTGTCTGGAAAGTACAAGGTACAATGAGACATAAACTTGCCCAGTGCAATTCAGTACTCCCTGCTCTACTTCATTCATATTCTATGAATAATGCCAACATTCTCCAGACAACTCTGTGTTAAACAAATCCAAAGCTTCTAATGAGAAAACCCCAAGACCCAAAGAAAAGGTACAGATGGTTGTGTAAGGAGGTCTGGGTGAAAAAAAACCCAAATACTTTAAAGATAATTTTTTGTTTAATTTGTTAGAGTGTGACTATTCTGTGGTGTTCACAACCAAGACCACTGCTAATGGGTTTGAGTTTTAAAATTACAAAAAATTCTAGCACTGTATATGAACCCACAGTTTACAGAATTTTATTTTGTTTCAAAGCAACTGCCTGCAAAAAGCAAACTTATTCAAAGCACCCTACAGCAATACTAAACTTCTAAATTGTATATTTTAACTCATTAACTGAGATAGTTGAGGTAATTTCTGCTGCAAAGACTTAAGTAGCTATACTGAAAAATTCTTCCTGTGAAGAAAGATATAATATACATTTTTGCTTTAAAATCATCCTTTACATTTAGACTCTTTTATATATAAATTCTCTGACATCGTATCAGTATGACTAAAGACTATTAAACTTTTTATTTCCCTTAATGAACTTATTCTGCAAGGAAAGGCCTTTTTATAGAATCACAGAAAGTCTTGGGTTGGAAGGGACCATAAACATCACCTAATTCCATGGGCAGCAACACCTTCCACTAACCAGGTAGCTCATGTTGCTCCATTTCCTTTCATTTTGTCTCATAGAAAGGAAAAAAAAAATCTTCTAACAGTTAATTTTCTTCTTTATCTCATGTGACTCCCTCCTTTCACAAAAAAAGGAGAAGACACAGATCATTATTTCCTTTTTAACCCAACAAGATTAGATGTGGACTCTGCTTGGAGTCCTTTTGTTTTACAATATGAATTGTCTTCATGAAACCACTTTATTTTTCCTCATTCCCTATGCATCTGCTTTTTTAGATAAATAATTGGATTACACGACATAGCCGGCTGTGTTGTCAAGCATGTTCCTACAGCAATTAACACTGGAGTATCAGGTCTGATTCAGATCTTTTGTACACACAGACCTTTTGCTTATATCCCCTCTTTTTAACTTCTTTTGTATTCCCATTCCAGAATAATGGCTGCGGGTTGACAAGAGAGAAAGAAGACAGAGATGGCAAAGAAAAATTGCTTTGATTTTCCATGTCAGCATAAAAACTTAAAAACATTTAATGCTAAGGAAGGATTAAAAAACAACAATAAATTTAAGTATGTTGCTTTTAATTTCTGAGGGCTGGGCAGTAATCCTACAATGTTCAGAGGAAGTGTGAAATGAGGCTTGAATAGTGTAAGGCCAGGGGAAGAACCTATTTTCTGTGTTAAGAGAAAAAGCTTCAGACAGGAGCAAGCTCAGATTTTAGCACAGCAGCACTGATGAAGCAGAAATGCTTCTCTAAGGCTTTATTTAGTAAAATAGAGGACTGGGAAGCTTCCTGCAATTTCTCTAGAATCACTACAGAAGTATCTTAAAATACTTTAATTTAGAGGTATTCAACATAAGCCTTCAAAGGCCCTATGAAAAATGACCTCAATTTCTCAGGCTTTTCTACTAAGCTGATTTGTTTCTGAAAATATCTTGATGAACCGTAATAGAACAAATGTTTATAAAAACCAAATAGGAGTAACTGCTCCTGACATGATGGTAAAGCCTTAAGGAACTTTACCTTTTATACTTTATTAACTTTTACGTTATTCTACCTAGAGATACTGGAATATTCACATAGGACAGGAATCAACAGAAGAGTAGCTTCAACCCAGCTCTCATTGGTAGAACCACCATCCCTGGAAGTGTTCTAGAAATGTCTGCATGTGGCACTGAGGGCTGTGGTTTAACTGATTTGGTGGTGTTTGGTCAAAGATTGGACTTGTCTTGGGAGGTCTTTTCCAGCCTTAATGATCCTGTGATTCCATATCAGAAGAGGTCACTAGGCTATTTCTGGGACAATCCTAAAACAGGCAGATCAACCACACACAGTCCAAGTGTACTTCCAAAAATGCACAAAGGTAGTAAAAATATATTGTACTTAATTCATGTGATTGCCACAGCTCTTTATATTTGATACAGGCATCTTTTAGAATTGCCATTATGACATTTCTGTGTTTGAAACAGAAGCAGTGTGGCAGGGAGCCTGTTTGCAAAAGGGAAGACTAAAAGGTCTCCAACTGAAAGCTTCTAGTTTACTGGAAAATCCCAGACTTAAGCACTGACAAGCCTGGTATAAGCACTGAATGATCTGAAACTTACTTTGGCTTCTTATGAAAAACAGCCTTGGCCAACAGTTCAGCTTCCAGTAACGCTTATTAGGGACAAACTGACTAAAATCTTGGCTATTTCTTTTTCACATGAGTATCACAAGTAATTCTGATCCCTTTAGACAGAAACCAGGGCAGTTTCAGAAAGTGACAATAAAACCCTTGCAAACACCAAGGTTTCCTTTTGTGCCAAGGGAAGCTCCAACAAACACCACCCTTTGTTTGTGCTTCCACCCAGAGTTGAACAGAACAACTAAACAGAAAAAGCAAATGAGGATCTCTGTAACCACAGTTCTATAATGATAGACCCTGACTGATATGATCACATCTGAAGAGAACTCTTCCATAAGCATAAGCATCTTTCCATCATTCCTATCAGATCTTCATGCTCAGCTACTTCTGATAACAAAAAGCATCTGTCAACAGCAAACAGGAAGAATGACCAAGCCAACAATCACTGCAGCAAAGCTTCTCCTATCTCCATAATGTCTCGAACACTGAGTAGCTGCTTTTGTGGATCACTAGAACACCCTATTCTGGAACCCAGCTTACAGCAGGACAGCAGAAATCCCAAGTTTGAAGGGGAGACACACATTTTCTTGCACCTTGCAGATAAATTTTTAGTTAATACCTAGTTCTGCTGCTACTTAGTAGAGATTTTTTTAGTACATACTTTTATCCCTGCAGCCCAGTTTCTGTCTGTCAAACAGATAATGAACGCAGACAACAACTGAGACCCTTATGTGAGCATTTTATAAAATACAGAAAAACTGCACAATATTTCTTGAATTATAGCCTATTATACTCTCAAATGGATCATACAAACAGCAGATTTATTACCAGTAATCCTAAAAGGTGACCAGAGTGCCCTCTCAAGGATCCCCTTAGCTATCACTATTTAGAA